TACCACTACCACTACCACTACCACTACCACTACCACTACCACCACCACCACCACTGCGACGACGACTACTACTACTACTCCTACTACTACTACTACTACTACTACTACTACTACTCCTACTCATACTCCGACTTCATCCTGCCCCGGCTGCTGCTACCACGCCGTTTTTGCTGCTTCTAGTGTGACTGTCCTTTTGGCCTCTATTTTTCTTCTGCTTCCGATCAGGCTCACCGTGACGGAGCCATGCCTGGGCACGATGACTTGGGGTGTGGCTTGGCTAACGACAGCTTTCAGGTTGAGTCGAGTCATGGGAGTGTTGATTCGATTATGGGCAGGGGCTTGATTTTAGAACAGTCTCCAGTTGGAAGGAAGTGCGTGCGCGTAGACACATCCTGCTGTGATGGCCGATCAACTGATGTTTGAAGTTCAGGTGCAGAACGACGAAGCGGAAGCCCACGAACAACTCGACTATGCTGTGAAAGAGCACCCTGGCACTAGAGTCTTGGGACCCAGGTCATAATAAGACGTCTGCAACTTGCTTGAGAGGCGTGTTCGATGGCTTCGTAAGTACGGGCAGTGGAATGGTATGTCAGTTCTGCCCTAGGCGTTTTATACTTGCAAAAGGTGTGTATGTGTGTGTACATACAAATATATATGTATATATATATATATATATTTATATATTTATATATATTTATGTATTTATTTATATGTATATTATTTTTACATATAATTGTGATTAATTATGGCCGGTATGCCTGTGTGGACTTCTTACGTCGTGCCCGGAGCAGCTCCAGGGTGTAGACTTCAGAGTTGCTGTGGTTGCGACTGTGCACCGTAGCTGGGTTCCTTCGGTTCTTGAATCATTGAAAAGGCTTCTCGGCTAAAGGCCTGAAGATATAGAAGCAGCTTAAATGACAAGGCATACTATGTTGGGATTTCTCTACACTACAAATATGATCCCTCAAAACCTTGTTCTAGTCTCTAGCCCCTGTAGTAATCTTTGAGGAGAGGCGTGAACTTCATCGACACAGCAGAGATGTACCCAGTCCCCAACTTCGACCCGCAATGGTGTCCAGGCCTGGCGGACGTCAGGGTGGTGTGCCGTCTACAGTATAGGGTCTAGGGTTTACAAATCCGGTTCCAGGGCTTAGGGTTTAGGTAGTTTTATGGTTTAGAGATTCCGGGCTTAGTGCATTGCAGTCCCTGCTCATAAAAGTGTTTAGGGTTCTGCTTGAGGTTTGAAGGGCTTCGGGGCTAGAGTATGAGGTCAGGTGAGGTATTTGAGGTTTGGGACTTGAACGCAGATTGGGCGATGGGCTTGAGGTGTACTGCCCACATCTACATCATGTTACGGGTTGTCTCTTGCCATACCGAGCAGTATCCTTCGTTTCCTCGCCCGGTGATGCGACCGAAGAGACCGTCCACATGGCTAAAACTAAAACGAGTTGGACTCGGGGCAATGTCCCAGACCTTGCACCTTCAACTCAAAACCCCGGAACCTTCACGCCGCGAGGGCTAGAGTCTTCACGAACATAGGCTTGGATGGCCATGCAAGCCACTGAAAGAGTTTGAAAATTGGTAGTCGTGCGAGGCACCACGGAGGAGTACATCGGAAACTGGCTGCACAAAAACCCGGACCTGCGCGACAAGGTTCAGACCAGGGAAGGAAGTTGGCTATAAGCTTTGATTTTTCTACACATGGTGTCGTTTAATGCTCGTTCGGGTTGCCAGATTCTGTGGTTCCGTCAGGTTGCAATGCATGGTGAACTTGGCCTGGGTTGGAGCCTTGAAAAGCTTCCGGTGCAATGTAGAAGCCTTAACTAATTACTAACAATCGGGTTCCTTACTACAAATATGCTAGATTCTACTATAATCGGCCCCAAAACCCTATTCTAATTATTAAGGCTTCGACACTCAGACGCAGCCCCTGTAGTAGCCGTTATAGACCTCTTTAAGAATGAACTCATTAATAAAGGAGCCCTGTTGAAATTATGAAGGCACCTACAGTAGTATGAACCCAGTAGTCGCTCCACAGGCCTGCAAGGGATTCTTGTGATCAGTCAGACACTGCAAGGTTTACGGTGGGGCTTAGGGCTTAATCTGGGCTTCCAGTGGCAAGCTTTCTTTAGGAGGGTCACGGTTTAGTGTTGGGAAACTAGATACTTTGTAGACTATGAGGACATTTTCAGGTGGGTATTTACCGTTATAAGAGCCTTCTTGAAGGTCTAAATACAATGGAGAAGCCTTTTCGAAGCCCTATATACCCTAAACTCCCCACCTGTAGTTTCCTTTAACTTAGCAAATTCACTTATAACTGGGGTGCTAGGTCCTGTGCGAAGTATACACTGTTCTCATGAACGGAAAGCTACATCTGCTGGCAAGAGTGACCATGACCGCCCTGTGCCCAAAGCCCCAAAACCGGATGAATGAGATTTCTTGGTGGCGGCAACCTAAATTCGCAAGAGCATCGCAGGCTACAGGATGTAGCAGAAGCCTAGACAAAGCCTCGAGTCTTTCCGCCCGTCCTCATCCGGTGCTTGAAACGGAGAGATGGTAAGCTCTAGGCCGCAAGCTCGCCAGTTCTTCAGTTCGGACTGGTCAGCCGGGCGGGTGGGTTCTAGGACACCACCACAAAAGAACCATAAGCCTGCAGTCTAAAGCCAAAAAAAGCAACCCCGCTTGTCAGCAGGTGGTGCTGGCCACCAAGGTCGCCATATCCTCAGATGCCCCCGAAGCCTCAGACTAGACATGGGTTCCAGGGCTTTCGGGTTTAGGCCTTCAGGGTGGCTTCAAGGTTTAGAAATGGGGCTGTAGGCCTTCAGGCTATTGGGCTAGGGTAGAGTTTGGATGTAGGGCGGCTTTACAGGTTTAGTGGGCTCTGGCTTTATGCCGCAGAATCCTAATTGTTTTTAGAATTGGTTAAACCCAAGAGAGGAATTACCATGAATACTACAGATACGGTTAAGCCCAAGAAAGGATCTATGGGAAGCAACGGAGGTCTACTGTAGGCTCTGTAGACCGTATTTAACAGAATTCTGGATACTGCGGGTGTTGCGGGGAAGGAAATCCTGAGTCCTATGGGCACCGATTGAGTGCACTAGGGTCCACGTGTTGGTACTGTAGTATACTTTGTCATTATAGTATGTTAAAATTTCTAGTTATGGTTTTGTATAGTGTTATCGTGTATTATAGTGTCACATTAGAGCGTGGCAATACCTGTAAGGGTGAAACGAAGATCCCACCTTCGTAGAAACTGCTGCGGCGAATGCTCCTCGTCCTCGCTCAGGCTGCCGTTTGCTGGCTCCAGGATACAGTATATAGTATTTAGCAAACAGTATGTTACAGCTAATTATATTCAATGTACAATATACAAAGTAGATAAACAAATAAATAAGAAACATACATAATATATACATATGTATATATATATATATACAGAGAAAGAGAGAGAGAGAGAGAGAGTAATTATAACATAAGTGTGCCCGGAAGCAGAACTCCAAAGAGCTAGTCCGCATGCCAGCCATGGCCAAAGTGGCATTCCTCAAGGTGCCGATATCTTTTCTATGGCTTCTTGCAGGAGCTGCGGAGTTCGAGGCTCCCCCGGAGGAGGCCCCCCGGTCCACTGTGACAGCGGAGGCCGTGGAACGCTACCAAGCTTCCGTTCGTGCCCGAATGGCAGGAGCAGATGCTTTGCCTGACAAAGCAGATGACGAATGGACGAGCTCCTAAAATTCCCAGTGGTACCCTTTTGCCATTTTTGTTGGGCTCCCTTGTCAAAAATACCTTCAAAATTAAGGGACCTTCAGAGGAACTGAGGTTCTGGTTCTCTTCGGAAGGACCTCATAGGACTCGTTGGAGGCGTCTCAGAGAATGCGACCGTGCTGGAGGTCGGCTGGTACACAACCCTAGGCCCTAAACCCTTCAACCCTCAAACCCTAAACCCTTCAACCCTAAACCCTAAGCCGTAAACAGGTCGGCTCCTATTTTGGGTACACAACGCGGATTCTCAGTCATCTCTTCAAGCGTGTGATCGCACTTGATGCCGTTCCTGAGCTCTTGCAGGCAAACCGGGACTACAACTATGATCGAGACAACATCCTGTACATCAGGTTCCACACTACCGACCATGACTGGGGTATCTTCAGTTTGAACACCATCCAGGTTGTGTTCCTGGATGCATCTCATGACTTTGAAACTGTCATGCAAGATATTGACAACTGTCTTAGAATCCCCACCGTCAGTCTCATCATTTTCGATGATTATGGAGCAGAAGAAGGGGTGCGCCGAGCTGTGCAGCAATTCGTCTCGGCTGGCCGTTTGCGCCCGGTGGCACTGCTGGGCGAGGGGGCTGAGGGCCCCTGGCGCCTGCGCGACGGCCGCGAGGTCAAGGAGCGCGAGGCGATAGCCTGTGAGGTGCTACGACGATGATGATCTGCAGTGCAGCTGTTCCGGGCGAAGGTTCTACGTGCTGCTTTGCGAGTATCTGCAGCCCGGGATTTGAAGTGAGATCCATGGACGGGTGACGGACACCACGCAGGACTCGTGCAGATGCATCCGCGGCAAGAAAGAAGTAGGTGCTTCTCCTTCATTCCCATCCCTAATTTGCATGGTGACTTACCGCAAGTAGTGTCTAGTGCAGGGCCGTGTGAAGTCCACGGCATTTCGTGCTTCTTGTGGTAGCCTTGCCACGAATGTTCGCCAAAAATATGTCGTGGTTGTCTTTGAGCACTCCATCCCCTTGGGTTGACCCCAATGTGTGACTCGGTGGTGCAGGGTCTTAGATGTAGTTATTGGTCGATGGTACATGTTGTGGGGTGATCTTGCGTGACGACATCATGTGGAGCCATGCCTGCTTTGTGCGAGAGTGAGGGTCGAAACCCCTAAACTCTGAACCCTAAACCCAACACTTGCGCAGTCTCCCTTGACAGGCCTCAGAGGGCTACCTTCCCAAGCTCCGAAGACCTGACAGAACTGATGTTTGTGATGCCTTTGGCTTAGTATTCTACATTTGGAGTAATCTACACACCTTTATATATATATATATGTATATGTATTATATCATATAATGTATACAGTACTATATATGATATTGTATGGCTTTGTGCAAATGACACGGGGTTCACAAGGGAGCGCGCGTTCAAGCTTCCGAGATCCGAGTCGCCCAAATCCTGCTACTCCTTGATGAATAGCCAGAATACTACGAAGAATACTAGCAATCATAACAATACGTGTACAATAGTAATGGTAGTAATAGTTAATAATGATGACAATATTCGTAGTGAGTGATAGTAATAGTAATAACACCATTATATCGAAGAAAAAGCCCTAAAGCCCAAAACGGAGCAAAGGTGCGTCATCCCATTTACAAAATCCGAAAAGAATCCTAGTCTGAGGTCGGCTGCTGGCCAAAGTCCCGTGTGGCCGCGCGTCGGACGCTGCCCGAAGGGGAGGCTGCTCTCTAGGGCTTATAGGGATAAGGGGCCCTAAACTAAACCCTCGTTTAGGGTTTAGGGCTTAGGTCCCTGCCATACAGTGCTGCTTCCCAGCTGATCAACAGAATCTGGGTTCAAAAAGGTCCCTGCCATATACGGTTTAGGATTTAGGGCTCTTGCCCTAAGGGGGGGTGAGGGTTGCGCAGGCGTTCTGAAAAAGGGGTCCAGGGTTTAGGGGTTAGGGTAGTTTAGGGGTTTAGGGCTTGGGGGGTTCTAGTTTAGGGTTTGCCCGATACTTTTTGCCAGAATCTGAAACATGTGGCATATGACAGCAGTACGTACACAGCAGTGCCATGATCTAGAGCACTGAAGCTAATACCGGATTTTGTGAATCAGCCGTGTCAAGCCCTTGGGATACAGAATAGTATCGGACCATCATGGCAGAATGATCGGGAATGATCAGTTCTCGTCAATCCTTGAAACGATATTCCCGGACTGTGGAGGTTTATGAACGGGGCCTGCCTACACTGACTACTTGATGTTCGGATTTAGGATGCAGGCCCATAGTTTTAGCATAAGTGTGTCTCCTGCGTCGGGGTCTAGGATCTAGAAGTATATGGTGTCGTAGCATTCTTGAGGTGCTGCCAAGAAATCTTGTCTTCTCGCCCTCAAAACGACCAAGTCAGACCCCACCCTATTCAAGAGGGTAGGGGACCCCTGCTTGGTCGTTTCTAACAGCATTAAACTTGTTGTAAGGACCCCCGAAGGGTTTAAGGTCTAGAGTCTAGGGTTTGGGCCGAAGATGTACCTCTATTTCTGACAGTTCCGTTGTGAGTCAGGCCGACGACTATCCTGATGGTCGGTTGGATGAAAAGTCAGTCTTGCCAGTGCCCCAGTGCCATGCATCACGGGCATACTACGATTCGAATAGCTAGTGTATACTATTGTCGAGCTAGGTTCCCTGCTATAAAGCTGTATAGGTATATTAATATATATATATATATATACATGTACTTATAAGTATTCATACCAGGCAGACCCGTCCACAGCTTCTCCAACTGTCTCCGTTTGCTTGGTTTTGCGGAGAACACAGATTAAGAGTGGGACTAACTCGGTCTGTCTCGGTGCTGCATTGGGGACTCCGGCCGGAGCCGGGTGAAGAAGTAGTACTAGTATAGATGTCTGAATATTTAGCAAGAGTCTGCCTTTTTAGCAGGGTCCGGCATAGCTGTGTGTAAGATCCTGCGCTACTTGTAACCAAACTTACTGGATGGCCCGAGTCTCGAAGATAGCCCTATTCAGAGCCTTCACAACCGTTCAAAATCCCTTCGAAAGCTAAACCTAACTGTACCAAAGCCATGAAAAGCTCGATTATAGGTATGTAAAGGAACTCTTTAAGCACTGGTATACAACCCATCGTGTCAGCTTCACAGATCCAGAAGCATTGACTTTTTTGATCTTTCCCAGGGAGGCCTGCGACGCGTCGCTCCGAAGATTGAAGACGGAGTGTATCGACTCTTGGTCTGTCGTTTGGTTTTAGGGTTTAGGGTTTAAGGTTTAGGGGTCGTATAGAAGATGTAAAACATGTCTCGTATGGAAACCGAGGAAAAGAGGAGGGCTGTGTATCTCGAAGAGAGCACGAAGTGGTGTTTACGATGTAGGACTTCAGCTGTGAGGGCAGGCTTTAAGTTCATGTTTTATCACGGTTTAGGGCTTCGGGCTTTGGGGCTTAGGACCTAGGAGTTGAATCTTTGGGGTTCATGTGGGGGTTTCCGAAAATAGGGGGACCCTCCTAATCTAGTACCCTTAATAGTTAATAGTAGGATCCGTATTATAAGGACCCCACAATAAGGTACCTCAAATTTTCGGAAACTCCCATGCAGGGGTTCGGGTCTAGAGTGCAAGATGTTGAGGGTCAGGCTCGGAGTGTATCTCTATCTCTGCCTTACATACATGCACATACATACATGAATGCAGGGGCACATCGTTCACTATACTTCTTTATTTGTCGTCGTCAGATATGGAGAAGAGAGAGAGAGAGAGAGAAAGAAAGAGAAAGAGAGAGAGAGCGTGGTAGAGAGCGTGAACGAGAAAGAGAGAGAGAGGGAGAGACTACTTACACGGTCCAATGTTGACGAATGTAACCGGCAACTAATGCACGCAGTCTTCGTAGTCGCCTGGTTTTTCGATGCATCTACAGTCGGGGTAAAGCGTATGATGCCAATACACGGCTGCCTCTTTTCTTCCGAAACTCTGGCTGCCGTGCCACAGTTCCCCCGTAAGAACACCCACAGCAGCATGGGTGGGCCATGCGGCTCGGGGAACTTGAAACGTTCCCGTGAGTGAGACATACAGAGGCAGAAAGACAGAGAGAGAGAGAGAGAGAGCAGCGAGAACGACAGATATCGATTTTCAGATACAGTAGCTATGGCGTTGATCTGTCTGCGCTTCATCACCGCAATTTCTTCGCTTCGCATGAACCAAGAAGGTTGGCAGAGCCACCGTAAGGACCTTTATCAGGTTCACTGGCCGGATCGATACGTCCCCATCTTCGGCGGCACGGTGCATCTTGGCCTCCAGACTCCAGTCCCAAGGCCCAAATCCCAAACCTTCACCGAAGGAAGGAGATCCGGAGGTGATTTGGTGGTTTCGTAGGTTTTACGGCACATCTTGGAAATGGGAGCTTCTGAGGGAGAGATCTCCGAATTTTGCGTTATTTACGAAAAATCCTACGAACAGGGACAAGACTAACACGGCGTCAGGATGCCCACTTTGCGTGGCTCATCCCTGTTCCCATGTTGCCTCGGCTGGAAGAGCTGGGCGTTTCGAATCTTTCTGGCCAGACCACCTGAAGCATTGAGGTACAAAGCAGAAAGCGAGCGAGAAGCTGTGCGAATAGAGGCCGGGCTGTGCAGCTGTTTTGAAATGCTACCACTGCTACCACTTTACCACTCGAAGTTTGGAGTTATGAGAAGATGGTGATGCGATAGTGAACGGGTATAGCTTGGTGTGGGTCATGGTGGGGGTGACGTCCCCAATGCAACCTGCAAGGAAACAGCTGGAGCTATGAAGAAACTGCTGGATGCCGGCAAGAGCCTGGGCCATCCTTTTCGTGGTCCTCTCATGGCATGCAAAGGATGTTATATTACGTTACAAAGTGTATTATACTCTGCTATGCTTTATTTTACTACATGATCTTAGAACTATATTATGTTATAATATAATCTTATATTATATTATATTATATTATATTATATTATACTATATTATATTATATTATATTATATTATATTATATTATATTATACGGTTGACACCCTTTTACCATGAAGCAGCCACTGAGGATCAAGGCCTATGGTGTGTCGAACGAGACGACTTTTGGCGTTTGTGAATGGGCACGAGCTGCAGACAAACTGGGTATGCCAGCCCCTGCCAGTGTCTCATCTGCTGTGGTTTCGCTTGGCCGGTGGCTTTGGGCCTCGAAGCATGAGAATCATGGGGATCACGCAGTCCCTGCTTGCTACAGGGATCTCCGTTCCGAAAGTGGGCGGAATAACGTTGCTGTTTCGCAGGGTCTCCCATGACTTCTACCTTGAGTTGAGCACTCATGGGTTTTGGGTTCAGGGTTTATGGGCTTAGGGTTGAAGTTGCGTATGGCGATGGCTTTCCAGGTTGTGCATGAATCCTGGTTTCGTGATGATCAACTCATACTGCTACCAAGTTTGCTTTCCGATGCTAAAGCTGTCAATTTGAGTTTGTAGCCGCGAGTTCTGCTTAAACTCGCCCTTTCCCGGCAAGATTACAAGAGGCCTGGATGCAAAAAAGGGTCGAAACCTCCAGTCGGAAATGTAGGACCTAGGGAGTTTGATTAGGATTGCGAGTGTATACGGTTTGGGGCGGAAAGGGAATGCCTCCTAGACCGCTGCACGGCTGTCTAGCAACACTCAGACGTTAAATCCTAAACCCAGGCATCCAAAACGCACTCTCAATGGTCGTCCGCCTCTTTGAATATGAGTTGGTCGAGGCCTCAGTTCCGGCGTGGCTCTTTTCGTAAAGTGGGTTTACGGGTTTAGGGTTTAGGGTTGGCGCTGGCCGGCACCTCAGTCCGTGCTGAAACGGTTTAGGGTTTAGGATGTTTAGGTGGTAAAGACCGGGCCAAGTACAAGAACTCAGTAGATCTACTTTGAACTACCAAACCTGCTTGTTTAAAGGGTTCCTTATAAACTCTACACTAGGGCTTATAATAAGAGCATGCAAGTTAGTTAGTAGGTTATGGTAGTTTTTAAAGGTTATAGATCCAAGGTGCCCCTGGCTCCACCCCTAAACTCGTAAGCAAATGCATCTTCTTAACATGGCTCACCGAAGTACCCGTTGTTCGTCCTTGCAAGAGCGGAATCCAGGGGTCGGTTAGGGTTTAGGGTTTAGGGTTATAGTATGCCCGTAGAATCCCAATATATGGATCCAGGACACTACAACACCCCCCAAGGCTACAAGATCCAAAAACATAAACTTGGAAGCCCCTAAAACCCTAAACCCTAAACCCTAAACCCCAACTTAAGAGCCTCTTCCAATTGTTTCTGCCGTTGAACTCAGGCCGAGGCTTGCTCACAGAGCAATTTGAACATTGGTTTGCTGGCCTACTCGATCCTTGCAGGAGGTCCGGAAATCTTGCGTCTTTCCTAGAGGGCTTAGGGTTTAGGGGTCCATCTATACTATGGCTGTAGAATAGGTCCCCGAAACCATAATAAGGATGGTCTTTGAGGGGCCCGATTCCAGAATGGTAGTAGATATGGACCCTCTGGGTTTCGGTTTCGAGAAAGCCCGATAATCTTGAAGCTCGTATACGTAGCAAGATTAGTCTTTCCCCCTTAAGTTTAGCATGAAAATAGGATCGTCAGTATAGTAGATTTCAAACTCCTAGATATTCTAATTTTGTTGAGGCCCCCATATCAGAGCCTCCGGAATCTGAGAAGAGATTTGAGGATCTCAGAACGCGCTTGCGGGTTGCTGAAAGCTGCCTGCTTGCAACATGTATATAGGTGAATCATGCCCAACTACCCGCTGCATGGCTCAAGTGCCTGGCCGTACAAGCCGGCATAGACAAGTGCGCCAATGTTTCTGCAGGGCGTGTGTAGATATGTTTGGTTGCCTCTGCTGCTGCCACCTCTCTTACGATCCGAGGGCAGTTGCTCCGAAGGTATCCGCCGGGTAGGACTTCATGAGCTGGCTGCCATGCATGAGGCGCTGGCATCAGACGGTGCCGTTATCGTGACCGGCGTGCAGCACACGGGCGGTACATGGGAAGAGAAGGCATCAGCCTTGCCGTCCCTCACTTTTCCAGGCCGCCTGGTCTCGAAGACCCCAAAGGTGCAAGGAATCCACCTTGAACATCAACATCTGAAGCAGAACTTGACGACAAAGCCTTTCGAGCTCGTGGGCAAGCCTCTTCTGCCACACACGGACGGATACATCTATGGAGAGTTTCTTCCCGACTACATAGCATTTGTGGTCGAATCCCAAAGCGACACTGGTGGCCAGAACTTTGTCGTGGACGGGAACAAGGTTCTCGAAAGGCTATGCGAGAAAAGCGGTACTGCAGATGCACCGTCGCTTGACGCTTGCTTGCTGGTTAGGACACAGATTGTCGATTTAACAGAGCGATCTCCACCGGGCTATGTGAATGGTCTGGAGTTCACTGCTCCACTCATGCGGCACCAACATCAGAGACTGCGTTTTCACCGACAGGTCTCCGTCCTGGCTTGTGAGGATGCAGTAGACGAAGATGGGGGGCTTCGTTCCAACCTGCGCCCATACCAGAGCCTGTGGAGCGCCGTGGCATCAGCCCACGGGGGAGATGGCCATCAGCGCGAAGTGACTGAACTGCTTGAGGCTGTTGATGTCGCTGTTCAGCAGGAGGCTGCTGCAGCTCCACGGTTTATGCTGCAAGAGGGGGAGGCCCTCATGATCGATAACTATCGGATGCTGCATGGCCGGGAGGGCTATCATGGCACGACTGAGCGCAAGCTGTGGCGAGTCTGGTTCTGGACCAACGAGAGTAGTGGTATCCCAGAGGGCATGCCAGAGCTTGGTTCCGTCCTGGATGCAGAGGAGCTAAGTAGCTGAGTAGGAACGACAGTCATCTAGCACTCTTCCAGCGGAGGATGCTTGTTCCGTGCTGCTGTGGCAGAAATCGTCGATACATCCTGTCTACTGCGGCGAAGGTTACCGGCTTAGATATCCCCTGCATAGTCTCATGAGTACGGCCTCTATACTACTGAACGGTTATATGAAATTATTAAGGCTCCTTGTGCTAAAACACTACTAGGGGGCGCCTAGGCAAGCCAAAGAGGCAATGGACAAATGGGCCACATGAGAGGGTGGCATGTTTAGGGTTTAGGGTCGCGAGTTAGCCTCTTCAAGCGCTGCCGTCCTCGTGGTAGAATTCTTTTTTCCAGTCAAGGGTCGAGGATTCCAGAACCGACCCAAATGCAGAGCACCAATCTGCACTAAATTCACATCTCCGGATGCATAGAACCAAACACAAAGCCAACAAGTGGATAAAGCACAGGCTTTATAGGATCCCGAACGAAGAATATTGATAATTACTTAGACTTCTGGGTTCTGCACCTTGTCCACGCAGGCCTTCTCAGCGGAAAGTATTTGCCAGGGAAGCCTGCGCCCCCGAAGGGCGCTCGGCACGTGAAGTATCCGGAATTCATGTCAAGGCCGGGTACAAGACCGAACCGCTCGGACTTAGGGTTAAGGGTTTAGGTCAAGGAATTCAAGGAATACTGTCGAAAGCCAAAGAAGGGTTGTCGCCGTGTTTGCTTGTTTTTGAGACAGTTCATTATTAACCGTGTGGTTATGGGGTTGGGCTGTTTGGTTTGTGCAGGAATACATGGCTTCGGATGTGAAGGCAGGCACCTGAGATCATGGGTTTCGGGGTTTATCAGTTGTAAGAACTATACTAGGGTTGGATCGATGATCCGCTTGTTTTTTTTTTGGTTCTGCAGTTCTTGCGTCTGAACTTGGCATGCAGAGGATTTTAGTGCGCCTGATTTGCATGCGGTCGTTGGCGTTACTGAAAGCCTCCGTGTACCGTGAAGAACCCGTAGGGACCTGACATACTGCTATCGTGTCGTAAGGTCCCCAAAGCCACAATAACATCTTCTGTATCGCAGAACATACTGCTGATGGACCATATCTTGCACTACCTTATGTAAGCCTATACTTATACGAACTGTAGAAAACTCCATCTTGATCTTAATCAGGGTTCATGCATCATTTAACCCATCAGCTATATGGATCCTCAGTGGCAGCAGTCTCCTGGGCAAGTTTAGTGCGCAACTCGGTTTCTCAGTAGCTGGAAGGCCGCTCGGTAAAGCCCTCTGAGGCAGCACCTTCACCCCACGGCGCATCGAACCCTGGTAGTGCCTTGAAAGGAACCCCCCAGCCCCCAGGCAAGAAGGTTCTTCTTCACTTTAACATGGCCTTCAGCACAGATTCTTGCGAGAATTTGAGGCTCCCTTGCGGCTTCCATGATAGCCTTGGTTTCCTTCCAAGGTCTCCAAAGTAACGACGCAAAGTACATGTCATGGAGCTGCTGGCATAGTGCTGCACTTTTTCTTTGGGGGAAGCGCCAGGTGGAACCCATCGAAAGGAATTCCTGTGCCGTGGATCGGTTTAGCAGCTCTTTGCCCTTTTCTCGTGTGATACAGATTTTGCCAGAAAGCTTCAAGCATTCTGCTTGGTCGTGGCGCAAGCAGGACACACAAGCCTGCACTGTCGAATACTGAAACGCAATACATAATATCACCTTGCTCCCTAGTTGGAGCCGTCTGTAGATGCAGATGTAGCGTACACTGGTTAACGGTTAGCTGCACGATTGCAAGAGTTGACTGCGTGTGGAATGGAATGACACACGATATAGCAATATCCGGATGCTGTCCCATGCACAATGCAGGCGCGACATCATGCCAGGCAAAACCCTAAACCCTAAACCCTATAAGGCTGCGTGCGAGAGTGAGAGTCGAAACCCTATGAGCCCAACAAACCTCAGCTCAATCCGCTTGCGGGTGTCGTGAACGAGCTCTAGACCCCAGGTTTCTCAGAAGTTAACATGCAAGAGACAGCTTAGACCTTCCAAAATCCCTGAATTAAGGAATATACTTTAAGCTGTAGTAGGATCCTAAACCATACTAGGGATGGGATCCCTAAACGGATTGAAGGTATCTCCCTTATTTAAGGGATCTTGGACTGTCTGGGCAGCTTAGGAACTGTCAGAGGCAGTCGAGGCTTATGCCAAGATCGCGCAGGAGGGGTTGGGGTGTAGGGGTTCGGGATTCATTGCGGGCAGTTTTGAGGGCTCTGCCGTAGGCTCTGTGAGTAAACATTGAACCTCAGAATCCCATGAAGCAGGAAGCAGGCATGTCCCTGACAGATCTCTCCACGCGCTGGTGTCGCACGCGCGCCTCGGTTTACCATTAAACCCACCTAAACTAAACCCTCTAAGCTTTTTGCCCTTGAACTTACAACCCTAAACCCCAACACTGTCTGAACCTGCCTGGTTTGACTCTGGGCTGATTTTCAGTCTGCTTCGTTGTCGCAGCCCGGCTCGAGCTCTGAGAAACTCAGATCCTTTTTGTGCATGTTCTTATTATGAACCCTGTAGTCCCTGTAGGGTACAGAGTTTAGGGCTTAGGGCTATATTATGAACCCTATAAAGTGTAAGGCTTAGGGGTTCTTAACCCTTTAGGGTGTAGGGTTTGAGGTTCTTATTGTGAACCCTACCCTACAGGGTTTAGGGTTCAGGGCTCGCGTTCTGAACCTTATAGGGTTTAGGGTTCGTATAATGAACCCTACAGGGTTTAGAGGCACTGGCCGGCACCTCAGTCCGTGCGGAAAAAGGGCTCTTATTATGAACCCTATGGGGTTTAGGGTTTAGGTGTCTGATTATGAGCCCTACTGGATAGGGTTCAGGGGTCTTATTACAAACCTTATAGGGTTTAGGGCTTAGGGTTCTTATTGTGAACTCTGTAGGGCTTGCAGGGTTTACGGTCTAGGGTCATCATTATGAACCCTACTACAGAACTTCTCGGGACCCTAAAGACAAGCCGAGGTTCCTATTGCAAGCATGGCTCAGCCTCCTGGCATCACAGAGTTTAGTTGTGGGTAGTTCCCAAGATTCGATAAGGGTTTTGGGTTTAGGTGTGGGAAAGTTCTCCAAATTAGGGTCCCTGCCAGGGTCCTTTCATAATGGTTCCTTGCTGTATTTGGCATCTGAAAAAGAGCCCTACTGTAAAGAACTGCCAACATGGTATCTCTGCTTTGAAGGTCCTTCCAATTTTACAATATGGTCTATGGCTGAGGTGTAGTCGGAAGATGTGGGATAGGTTTAGGCTGTAGTTTCTTGTTGCTTTGGGGATGGGTTTAAGTTCTGCTGTGTTGCGGAACCTTACTGTTTCCTTCAGTAGCGCAGGATATGGGTTGAAGAGTAGACCTGGATCCTTGGTTTCCTATCAATGCATGGGAAGGGGGGCATGGGGAGGTTGGGTTGGTGGTTGCGATCGGGAGAGGCAGTATTGCGACATTAACTTTAGAAGATGAAGACGAGAAGACCATGCTGACTTTGGCTGGATAGGCGATTCAGATGTCAAGGTTTCAGGGTTGTCCTGACGGCTCCATGCACTACTGACTACTACTGGTGAAGATCATGTGGAGATAGCTGGACACATTGCATGCTGGAGCATACTCCGCGCCGACACTCTAAACTCAGAACCTCATCTTGCTGGCTCGAGCCCGCGATCATAAAATTAGAAACGGTGTATGTTGGGGCCGGGAATCGTCGTGTTTGATTGGAACCAGAGGGATCTGTTCGAGTGTGTACAAACCTAGAAACCCTGCAAAGCCGCATGATCATAGAACTTCCTTATGAAAAGGGTATAGCACCCCAGAAAGCCCGATCAAACTTCCTAGACATCCTCCTGAGGTGATCATTGGGGCGACTTCCGTCGAACAGCTGAAGGAGAACCTTGACGCTTTCGAAGGCCCAAGATCCGATGGGAATGTACCTATAGCCTCCATCGATCCTGACTGTAAAATTGGTTCAACCAAAACGAGGACCTACAATGGAGACTCCATATAGGTAGACTCGTGATTACAAGAAGACCGTTGTCTTTAGATGCCTTCACACTCGAATCCTTACTATAGTCGTAACTAAGGGAAGGGGAGGGGTAATTATTCATCAGGGGTTTGCCTTCATGATATTCCTCTTAAGTCTTTACAATACATAACTTTGGTAGAACTTTCCCAAGTATGCCTGTTCTTCAGGCCCCGTTATCAACTGTTTGATGTGAGAGCTCCAGGGCCTTGGTGTCGAGGGTTTAACCATGGCTCTTGGGGATGTTTGCCGCATCCGACGTTGCCAAAAATAGCATTGCAGCACAATGCTATATATATATATATGTATATATATATATACATACATACATACATACATACATACATACATACATACATATGTATGCATATATATATATATGCATAAATACAACTATGGCTACATATATATATATATACACATACACGTCTAAAAGTATGCTTATATACAAATTCCAGAGCCCCCATCATCTCCGCCCGGTGCTTCAGAAGACCCTCGAGACGTAGTAGCAACGCCTTATATGCCCTGAGTCGCAAATCTCGTCTCGTCACCTTGAATTCTCGACCTTGAACCCTACCACCCTGCGTCTTAACGCCTGACCCTGAAAGGCTAAATCCTAGTAATGTAGGAGTCTAAATAAGTACCAAGACTATTTTGGGTGGGCTCCTTATTCATAATTATAGTATAATGGGCGCCAAAAACCCTCTTCTAATTATTAAGGCTCCTATATTAAACTATAAGCCATGAACCCCTCCACGTCGATGCAGCAAAAAGGTGAGGAGGGCCTCTCCGAGGAGGTCCTGCAGAAGATCGATGATGTCCATCTGAAACTTCGGAACCCGGGGACCTACCTTTGAATTCTGAGTAGCTGACTAGGTAACCTTTAGCCTCTCGGGGTTTATATAACCCTACCATAGTCGAAACGTTAACCCTTGTTTGGGCTGGGGTATTCAGCCCAGTTGAATGAAGTAGAGCTTAGGCAGTCTTGGAGCTCAAGCTTTAGATCTCGCGGGTTTCGAAGACTGTTTGGGATTTGGGGAGACTGGACGGAAAGCTCCAGGGCAGAGGGGACGAGGCTCGGGCGAAGCCGGAGAGTGAAACAGGGGGGAGAGGGAGGCGAAAGTACGATTTTGTGATGAAGGAGCCTGAACCCCCGCACTGAAGGGGCTTCACTTTATTCACTGATAGCCGTGTCGGTGTCAATGGAAGTGTTCATATTACAGTACTACGGCTCTCAGAATGTTCGTAGGAGAGCAACAAGAGAAGTGGTAGGTAGCAACTACAAAGAAGCAACCAGAGGCCCCTGACGTAGCAACCGCACCAACTAGCGAGATTGAGTTGCCCCTCCATAAGTAGCACGTGTCTCTCTAGATGTGCTCTATATATATATATATATATATACATATACACACATAGATGTGTTTATGCACGTATGTTTTTTGTGTGTGCGTATGTCTGCCAACATGTATTATTTCAACCCTGGACGTCAACATGCCCCAAAGGTCCTCTGCTATTAAAATCGGGTTCTCATGTTGGATCGGGTCCCGGGGCCTCCTCGCAGAAGTGCCGCCGCTGCAGAAAAGGTTAGAGTGGTTCCTGTCGATGCAAGACAGGTCTTGCGCAAAGGGTATGTCGCGCTTACTGCTTGTTGCATGGAGTCTGAAGGCGGGTGCCTGTAAATCGACAGCGCTTTCCAGGTTGGAAGGGGGGCAAAGTTGCAAGCTCGCACAGCTTCCCTTCGTTGTAGCACGCAGCTCTTTATCATCCAGCCCTCATGCTACCCGAGAAGACGACTGGATGTGGAATGCATCATGGTGTCATACATCTCCGACCAGTTTGGGTCAAACTTGACGTGTTTCATGACAAACAAATACCTTGCTAAACGGGTTAACCTGTGACATCGGTTGCCCAGTCGCCTCACCAGCTACTGACACCCTCATCAGGCCATCTGTAGGACGACTGGATTGGCAACAGTCTTTCGACAAGGCTTCCCCGAACGCCTCCAGATTGCCCTTCGTGAAGTCCACAGCAACGCCTCAGAATGGACAACTCCACTGAGCCCGTTTCAAAAACACTAGCTGCCGACGGTGCGCTTCTCACTTCAGTATAGTGGGTCTGGCATGCGTCGATGGGCTCTAGCGGCTCTAGCGTGCGCTCTCCTGCGCTTGCCGACTGCCCGGGGCGTTGCTGGGTTCTTGTTAAGAAGATAGATTTTAACTTACCTAGAGATCTATATTCAACACAACATGGTTGCCAAACTACGGTAACTCAAATTGCTGAACCGTAAACCCTAAATGCCTTAAAGAAAACCCAGGTTGACGGACAATCCTTCAAAGCTTCAGAGGATGAAGCGGACAGGCCATGGATCCCACCAAGACTCTGACCCGCCCAGCTTTGTATACATACCTGCATGCATACATGTATGCATGCATACATGCATACGTACATACGTACATGCAGACAGACAGACAGACAGACAGACAGACAGACAGACAGACAGACAGACAGACAGACAGACAGAGTTACCTACATACATATGCATACATACGTACAGATACAGGGACTTAGATGTTTATGAATACTGTTCCTTAGGGGACCCTTTTAATTAGATGGAAAAGTAGACTGTTTGACCTTTACATCTAGAACCTCGGCGTCGTGGCTGGAGCAATACTTATGCACGCTAGATGTGAGTCCCTCCATAGTCAAAGCACAGTGCTGTTTCGTGTCATTCGAGAGCTCTTCTGTGCAAGGTGTACGATGCCAATTGAATCCCTGAAGCCTGTCATCCCTATGACCCCTTGACCATCGTCACAGTCGTTTCCTGGCTAGTCAACGAGAAAGTGTGCCTAAACCCTAACACCTCATCCCTAAACCCTCCACCCTAAACCCTCATCCCTAAAGCCTCAACCCTAAACCCTCATAGCACACCCCCTAAGGGTTAATGTGTTGCCGTATTCTAGGAAGCTCTCCTCCAAGAAGTCTGGCAGAGTCTCTATACACTGTAGTCGTAGTGAGCAGGCACCACACATCCCATCTTTTTCATCAAGTTCAGTGTTTAGGGTTTAGGGTTTAGGTACATTTCGTACTGATTGGCGGGCTGCTGCAGCCTTGGCGCAGGATTTGGAATGATCCCAACTGCGAAAGGACCGCTAACACCAGTGAGGGAATCGATTGGGATGTTGTGCGGTGTCTTGGACAAAACTGGACTGCCTTTGAGGGCTCAATCGTTATGGAATTTCTACTTGTTCTTGCGAGTTGACGGTTCTGGGGAGCATCATATCGGATGTTCACGTAAGCGTGTTTGGATTTAGAAAGTGCTGGGCCCTGTACGGTCGTGCGAAGTGCGGGAGAGAGAGCGAGAGAGAGAGAGAGAGAGAGAGCGAAGAAAGAAGCACCCTCAGACAGAAGGGCAAAAGCAAAGACATGCAAAGGCCGCGACGAGATCAAGAAACTTAGCTTACACCCCGGGGCACTCTGCGCAGCATCATTCGAAAGCCTGGCAATAGCAGGGAGGGGCTGGGTCAGTTGCCAAGTAGCGCCCCGCTTCTGTCACACTCCAACCTGAAATCTCGTTGTTTCTGTGCCCTGAAATTTGAAATCCAAAGCCATAGACCCCAAACTTCTGAAATCTGTAAGAATACACCCTCGAACAGGTTCCAGCTGCTCCAGATCCCTTTTCCAGAGAGCATGGCGGCGATCGGGCCTCTGATGACTCGATTGGAGAATCCGCACGAACTGGATTTTGCTGCCCTTCAGCTGATGGTTAACTGAGCGGCAACGGTGTGCATGCACCAACGCATGCTAGTCTCAGAAATCTCAGAATCTGGTTTCACTGGCCGAAGATGGGGGAATATCAAGATGTAGCCGAAAGCTTGCTGTAAGCATGTAGGTTCCTATGTTAAGTTCACCTGAAGGCACTCGAGCAAACATCGCCTTGGAAAAGCGAAGCTGAGGCGACACACTGCGTTTTCGGAGTCGTGGCGGTGTACTTTTTCTTCGTGAAGCTTGGATTAGGAATTAGGGGTACCTTGTTTTGGGGTTTAGTGTTTAGGGTTTAGGGGCACTGTTTTTGTAGGCTACCACATTGAGAGCCTGTCATATGTGTTGCTGATCGTGGTGGGTTCTGATTGCGAGTGCCATGAGACCCAAGTGTGGTGCGCATCTTGTGTTCATCGCGGAGATTAAGTCTAATATAAGTGTGTGTATATATATATATATATGCATGTGTGTGCACACATACTTTTCTAGATTCACGAAGGATATGCCGGATAGGCAGAAGCGCAAGGCCAGAATAAGGCTGTTCACTGACTTTAAGGGATCAACAGAACCAGAACCCTATCTGGGTTTAGTTTAGGGCTTCAGGATTTAGCACTTTGGAGTTTAGGGTGGCCAGAGAACCTGAACCCAATGGCCCTTGTTTGGCCTAGTTTGCAGTGGAAGCGAAGGGTAGACGTCCGCAGCTTCGAAATGTTTAAGGAAATACCTCATCGAGTCCACGAAGCCGCATCTCGCCTTAGCGCGGCAGTATTACTCGCAGCTGGATGCCTTCTCCAGCGGCATTCACCCACACCTCCTCGACAGGCGTGGGATTGATTGTCCCCAGAAAATGTAGGAGCCGGAAGGAAGCATGAGCGGGACGCTGAACCCTAAACCCTCAAGACTGTCGTTTCCCCATATCTGTTGAATTTCCCATTTTACAGTCCAATTGGTTCTGTTTTTTGGAGGGAATCTTTATGCCTTGGCTGGATTAGAGGAGGCCCCCCGCTGGACAAGGTCCGGGAGGGGTCTATTTGGAGAAACAGGACCCACATGATGCTCATGATGCTCGTCCTGGCTGGTCTAGGGGGGGGGGACGGGGGAGGGGCAAGGGGCCGTGATGAAGACGGCGGTTCCATTCTTCTAGAACGCCTGAAGGGCTCGTTCCTTCAAATTCAGACAAGAGATTTTGAAAATGAAAACAAGACATGGAACCTCAACTCCGAAGCCTAAATTAGACACCCTGTGTTGAGCAGCCCCGAAACTACCTATAGTCTTCAATGTAGTTCCTTTTTTTGGTTTAGGGAAGCCCCGAACAGGAACTACAATAGAGACTCTAGGTAGGTTTCACTTCCAACCAAGCAGGCACCAAGAACCTCGCCAACCATGTCCGCGAGGGAGCCCCGAACCCCCAAACCGCTAAACCCGAACCCTAAACGCTTAAAAACCACATGCCTCGACTGGATTGTCCGATTGTGAGCACCGAAAGCCTTAAATAAGCCCTAAACCCTATAAACCCTAAACCCTAAAGTCTGAGTCGGTTGAACCTCGCCTGGCTAGTCCGAGTTGTGAGAGCGTAAACCTTACGGCCGAAACCTCAAACCTTAAACCGGTGTTCCAGTCACTCAAATGTGGGAACGCCCAGCGCATACCGCTGTCATCTTGTTGGACACTGGCGAGAGGGAAAGTGCCGTGCAAAAAAAACCTTAAACCCTGAACCAACCAACCAAGAAGGAACCCGACAGGTCCGACTGGCTCGTGAAAGACGCGCGGCTCTCGGCCCTTCGCCGAGCGCTGTTGGGTCGGCTGCGGCCGGGCAAAGGGGACCCCATCGGTTGCCAAATCTGCGGCTTTCGAGGGCTCAGGGTTGCGGGATTTGGGTTTAGGAAGCGGTGTTCTTCAAAAAATGAATTAAGTTTAGAGGCAAACAGGGTAGGTTTAGAATTCGGATGCAGCGGAAATCATGGAGAGAGTTTCGAGCTTTCACCCTTCTGGATTCTGGACAAGCTGTGCTCGGATGCTTCCGCGCTGGATCGGCTTCAGGTTTTTACATTTTTCATGACTTGGTGTGTGCCTTCTTGGTGCTGTAGATGGTCCGCGA